AAATGACTTGACATCTGAATATATTACAAAATGATCTCCACAATAGTTAACATCCATCACCATAGTTATAAAATTTTCTTGTGATGAAAACTTTTAAGATTTACTCTCTTAGCAACTTCAAATACGCAGTACAGTATTATTAATAATAGTTACCATGATGTACATTACATTCTATGACTTATGTACATTAAGTTTATACCTTTGGGCCACCTTCACCCATTTCGCTTACCCCCCTCCAGGCTTCTTATCCTAAATGGGTAACACAAATGCACCTGAGATAACAGATCCCTTTCTTATCCAACTCCAACCTAGTCTCCCCAACCTTCCTCTCCCATGGAGTTCAGCCCTAAGAAGCAGGTGTCTACTAAGCACCTAGTGCTGGGGGCCCTGTACCTCAGGAGCCTTCATGAGCAGTGTTCAGTAAGACCCCATTCTGTCCCCCGGCACATGCCTCGCCAGTAGGAAATGAACATCCTGCAGTGTCACTTGGATCTGGTAGGGCCTGGCCCATGAGGGTTGGAGAGGATGTGGGATGGAGGTGAACAGTTAGGAAACAAGGGGAAAGAATTGTAAGGGTAAGACTTAAGAAGTGCTTGGCCTGGCCGGTGTTGCTCAGTGGTTTAGCGATGACCCATGAACCAAGAGGTCACAGGATTGATTCCCAGTCAGGGCATATACCCAGATTTCAGGCTCAATCCCAGATAGGGGGCATACAGGAGGCAGCCAATTGATGTTTCTCTCTCATCAATGTTTCTATCTCTCTATCCCCCCTCTTTAAAATCAATAAAAACATATTTTTAAAAAATCTTAAAAAAAAAAAAAAAAGAGTGCCTGGAATACTCCCAGGTAAGATTGAGTCTAAGAAGGTAACCTTGGAAGGGAAAGGGGTGGGGGGAGAAAGAGGCTGGAGGGTAGAGGATGGCCATCAGGTCAGTCCATGGGATGGATACGAAAGGGGTCTTGACAAGGCAGTTCAGAGGCCTGGGACTTGGTGCAGGCTCAGGGCAGGTTTGCTTTGGAGATGCAAACCAGCGTGAAGGCTAGACTGGGGACTCAGGAAGCCCGAGTTCTAATCCTAGGTGTTCTACATTCAGTCCCCGTGACTGGCATGAGTCACTGTACTTCTCCAAGTTTCCGTTTTCTCATTAGTCAAATGTAATCATCTCCTTACAGCCCCCGTGGCTCTGGGTCTAAGTATTTGGGGGATTTGCAAGTTTTCCATGAGTGTTTGAAATTAGTGTTTCACTTAGTGACAACCTAAAAAAAACCCTAAGATAAGCCTATTGTGAATCACTTTATAAACTGTGCTGACGCACACTTTAGGTTCCTATTAACTTCAGTGCCAGTGTTTGTATTTTCTCAACAACTTCCTTGACACCAGGCTATACTCTTACAATGTCTTGGCCTAATAAAAAACAGAAATACACTTTACAGGTGAAGGATATATTAGACCCAAACTAGGCCAGTTATATCCCAGGAAAGTTTCAGTTCAGCAAACAGGGAAGTTTTGGCTGGTGAATCAAGTCACTTTGAACAGGGAAAAGGGGCTTTACAGCCACCCAGAAACAGCATTTTAGCTCCAACAAAATAAAGCCCTGTAATTAATATTTTAACTAGGATTGTACTGACTTTAGTTTTATTTGTACTTAATCTGTAAATTTATTTTGGTTTTATTATCTCTATGTGGTATAAGCAAGAGGAATTCACACTAGTTTTGTGCTTGTATGTAAGGAATGATAATTTAAGACATACTGTTGGAATATTTGTTCCTTTAAGAACGTGTACAGCTCTAGCTGGTTGAGGCAGCCAATCAATGATTCTCATCATTGATGTTTCTATCTCTCGTCTTCTCCCTTCCTCTGAGTCAATTAAAAAAAAAAAATATATATATATATATATAACGTGTACAAATACTAGAGGATTTTGTAAGGTCCCCTAAAGATCCAACACACACTTCAAAGCTCTGGTTTAAACAATGTCACATTCTGAAAGCTCATCAGTCCTTTCCTTCGTACCCCATGGCACGCAGGACAAAATCCCAGCCCTCACGTGCCCTCAGTCCTCATCCAGTATGTCCTTGGGTTGCTGCGAAATCATTTCCTCAGAAACCTTTCCCCATGCCCATCAGACAAGAGCAGGCCTCCTTGGAACAACGGCCCACACATCCTATTGTCCTGCACAGGAATGTCACAGTCTGATACTATACTTGATCTTAGCCAAATGGCCTAGAAGAAGCGATAGGAATGTCACAGTCTGAAACCATGTAACTGTTAGCGTGATTATTCAGTCATGCTTATCAGACTCCAAGAAGGCAGGGGTTAGGACTGCCTGCCCTGTCCTCTAGTGCACATACCGTGCCTGGCACATAGTAGGCACTCAATCAGCCCACTGAGAGTTGTTGTTCTCCCCTCAAGACTCTATGTTCCCACACACATAGTCAACTGCCTTCACAGCACCTGGAACAGAGGACCAGAGGGGAAAGTTTTACCCTGAGACCAGAGAAGCTTCTCTGAAAGCCCATGACCAGAGTGAGGGCTGAACAAGGCCCAGGAGACTCCACAGTATCTGCTCTGTGACTTTGGACAGGCTTCTTAACTTGTCTGAGGCTCAGCGTCTCTGCCTCTAAAACGAGATAGCACCTACCTGTAGCAAGCTGAAGAATGGTTTCCCCAGAGTTGCCAATCCTAATCCCTGAACCTGTGAGTATGTTACCTTATATGGCAAAAAGGACCCTGTAGGTGTGATTAAATTACAGATTTTAAGATGGGGTAATTATCCTGGACTGTCTGCGTGGGCCCCAGATAATTACAAGGGTCCTTGTAAGATGGAGGTAGCAGAGTTAGTTAGAAAGGTAGTGGAGCAAGAATCAGGAGTTGGAATGATGTGCTTTAAAGATGGAGGAGGGGCCTCTAAAAGCTGGACAAGGCAGGGCAATAAATCCTCTCCTAGCCTCCACAAGGCATGTCGTCCTGCCAACACCTTGACTTTAGCACTTCTGACCTCCAGACTTGTAAGATAATACATCTGCGCTCTGTTAAAAACAACGTTTGTGCTGCAATTTATTACAGCAGCAGCAGGGTATTAATACACAACCTCACAGGGTTTTTGTGAGGATTAAAATTGTTGACAGGTAAACACTTAAGAGCACCTGGCACAGAGTAAATGCTCAAAATGTTGGCTGATATGATTATTTTTGCCGAATTCTTCATATGGGTGTCAAAGTGATCTTTCTAAAGCACACATGTCATCACAAAACCCCTATGTAAAAGCTTTCAGGTGCCCATAGCACACAATGGAAAGACCCCCTCAGGGCCAGACCTCTCCAGCCTTCCCATACTGCTCCCCGACAACCACTATCCACTTCAATCATGCAGAACTACAATTTGTCTATTTACTGTCTGTCTTCCCCCACTGCCAAGAGACTCCATGGGGTGAGATCTCTGCCTTAGTGAACTCCGCAGCATCAACACCCAGAAGAGGCCCTGGAACACAACAGGCCCTTGATACACAGTTGTCTAAGACACGAATGAGCTCCACCCTGCGTTAGGCTGAGCACACGTAGCTTGCACGCTCCTCAGATCTTTCAGGTCTAGACTCCCGACCCCCTCAGACATTGCCCTGAGTGCCCATGGATCTGACAGCATCATTCCTCTGCTTAAAACCCTCAGATTGCTTCCTATAGTCTTTAGGATAAATGCCAAGGCTTGGGGCCTCCTGGTTCTTTTTGTATCTCCATCCTCATTCTAATTACTCTGTAATGCTTCCGGTGCTTGGAAAGGCAGGCCTCCCTGCTCTGGACCCTTACACATTGCTGCTGCCCCTCCCTTACCCTCTTCACCTGGCTAACACTTCCTTATTCCTCTGGTCTCTGCTTGAAGCTCCTAGAAGATATAAATTATTTATCTCGTGTCCTGTATTGTCCCCAGGGCCCAGCAATACCAGACATCTGCTGAATAAATAGAAAGTTGTCATTAGATCATATATACTTCCCGGTGTCTGGCTCACTGATCTTGAATCTGGCTTAGTCCAGACCTGGGGGTTTTACCTTGGTACCCTTTGCCTTGACCCCTGACCCTCTTCCTGAGCTGTACCTCTGCCAGCCCCATAGTGATTACTCATGACTTGATCCTCTTCCTTCACCCCAGCCCCCAGACTGCTCAGCACTTACTTTAGCTGCCCCAAATCAGGACCTGGCACCTATGCCCGTGGAAATGGGAAAAAGCACTGTTGTTAAAACCAATAAGATAGCCCCCAGCCACATCAGTGTTCAATGCATACTGATGACATTCCCCTTTATTTGAACTTTTGTCAAAATGTGTATGAAACTTTACATATTTCAATGTTTAATAATCAACTTTTGATATATCTTAAGAAAGTCACTAAAACCAACTAATTAAAACAGTGTCTGTAAACCAGGCAGTAGGGGGTTCTTGCAGCACCTCCTTTTCAATACATTCAGCTTCCTACCACCTAACCACTGTTCTGGCCAAACTGTGGGTCTAACCAATGTATTATAGATGACAAAATAAATTAGTGTTTCGCACCCTGCACAATTTAAAAAAACAACAAAAAACAAAAATGCAACATAAAATGCCAATGATCATTTTCACAGAACTTTTGTTTCAACTGATACATTAGTTACTAATGATTAGTACATGAATGTTCTGGGTCATAATGGAGAAACTATTTCTCATTATGGGCTAAGGTTAAAAAAAAAATGTGAAAACTCCTGAGTTGGCTAATCCTTATTTTCTGATCGTTTTCCCTCCCGACACCAAAATATTCCCCGTTGTTAGTTTGGCCCAGTAAGTGGCTCCTGTATTTATAGCCCCTGGCACTCTAGGCATTGGGATGCTGATCCAGAATAAGCCAGCTGGCCAGGGCCAGAGGCCTCCCCACAGCTACACAATGGATGGGCCAGCTGGGGAAGCAGGTGACCAACACTGAGGATCTCAAAGCTCCACATCCACCGCCAGGCCGTGGGCTCCTGCACCTCTCACCTGCGGGTGCCCAGCTCCAGGTTTCCTGAGCTTTATCCACACCCGTGCTTCTCAAAGAGGCACGGGCCACACCCCGCTGGCAGAAAGGGTGCATCCATCGCATAATACGTGGGTGGGGGCTGCCTTGAGAACTTCATGTAAGCCCAGTCCACACACTTCCTGTTTGCCTCTCTTCTCCCATCTCAGGCCCCCTTGGACCGGCTTTGATAAGGACAAAAAAAAGAAAAAAGAAAAAAAGAAGAAAAAAAAGGCAGCCTCTAGCCCCGCCGGTGTGGCTCAGTGGTTGAGCCCAGACCTAGGAACCAGGAGGTCAACGTTAGACTCCCCCTCAGGGCACAGGCCCGGGTTGTGGGCTTGATCCCCAGTAGGGGGCGTGCAAGGAGGCCGCCTAGCCACGATTCTCATCATTGATGTTTCTGGCTCTCCCTCCCCCTTCCTCTCAGAAATCAGTAAAAATATATTTTTTAAAAATGGCGCCTCCATAGGTTCCCAGAGTCATCCAGGAGTGGGTCCTGCGGCGACACCAGCCAGCTGGCTGCAGGGAGAGGGGCGGGCTGGGCACCCTCGG